GGACAGTGCTGTTAAGTGGGCAGTGATGAATGGACAGCGATGAGTGTGGAGTAATTGTGCTCCTCTGTCAGTACATTGACGGTGCGCAGAGCCCTGGTTCTGAGCAGGTTCTCCCGGAGAGAAAGGGGAGTCCAGTCGAGAGTCTGGTAGCTGCAGGAATCACGCAGGTCTTCAGGCTGTCGGTGCTTCCAAGGACAGCCATCTCAAGGTGTGGCCCAGCACCCTGCTCAGGCCAGCCTTGGGAGCACGGTCCTGCTTTCTGTCTGTTTCTGGGGAGGAGGAGGGGTCGACTGCTGTCTCAGCCCCACTTGTTAACATGGTTTGTGTTTGTGATGGAGAAGGGCTTCACGACCCACAGCTGCGTTCAGGTGAGTGCTGGTTTGGAAGAGACGGGAGATGTGATTGTGGTTTTAACTCGGCCTGTCCCTGGCGCCAAGTCCCATCAGGCCAGTTCCAGACCAGTTCCTGCGGCCCAGCTGGGCCCAGTTGGAGTTCTCTGTGAAACCAAGCCCATTCTGCAGCAGCGCCTCATGTGACCAGGACCAGTGGGGAGGGGTCCCACATTCCCAGTTCTGTCATTCCAGTTTCCTGCAGGGCCCAATTCCAGGACTGTCCCAGTGCCATTCCGGCCCTGCCAGGTCTGTGCTGGGCTGGCTGGGGCGTGGGGCCATTCCGGAGGAGTGGAGGGGCAGCCCGGGCAGCTGTGTCCGGGGGTATTTATATTGGATTCCTACGTTTGCTGCCTTTTTTCCGTTCTGAAAGAAACCTACAGAATAATGTATCGGGACCATTTTGAATTGTATCAGAGATGTGTTTTTTGTTTTTGCTCCATTTTTTTATTATTGTCTTTTGAAAAAAAAATCCTATTTTTTTGTTTTCTAGTGTTTTTGTTAATCAAATTTTGAAATATATATATAAATATATAAATAAAATGCCAAATGGCCTTTCTAAGCAAGATACTGTTAAGATCTAATAAAAGTGCTTGAAATTTTATCACAATCTTGATGTGTTTCAGTTCTTCTATTGTGTGAGGGAGAGGTAGTGTTGCATCTCCCTTACTTGACCTTCAAGGTAGCTATATATCTAATAATACCAAGAAAAGGCTTTGCACTGTACTGACAATCTGTGTAAGGAAAAAAAAGAGCCTTTTTCTTTTCTATGGATCTCGGATAAGTCGCCTACTGTAGCAAGTTGGCATAAGACTATGCTGGAGTGCAGTAATGTCCCTTTAGAGCACTTCTTGTAGGTTATGCTCAAGACATCATGTCTCTTCCACCGTGGGGGAGCCTTTCTCGGCACACGCAGCTCCTGACCTCTGGGCTGTCCTGCCGAGAGGATGCACACGATGCAAGCAGCTCGCTTGTGTGAGGTGTGTCTGTGTGTGATACCCCTGTGAATGTTATCTCGCGGGTCTGATGCAGCCCCTGGGGTCTCTGCACACGGTATGGGCCGAACTCCTGTTCTTCTTGTTCTCTGGTTGTCTTTGTTAATAAAATAGTTTAAAGATGGATGACAGAGAGGAATATTAGGCTGGAGGGTAGTTTATTTGTAGTAATACACCAACAGAAGAACAGCACAGGGTGACGCAGGGTGTCTCGGAGACGGCCGTGGGAAACGCTTAGACAATGGAAGGGCTTTGGGCTGAGACATGAAATGAGTGTTTCTCTCGGGTCTGTGCAGCTGGAGGAGTGCTGCAGGCTACACAGGCCACGCTGTCCATGCAGATACCCAATTCCTTCGGGAATGGGCTGAGCGAGATCCCGGGATGTTCAGGCTGCTGGACCCCGACTGGTGTTGGAGGCAGGCCGGTAGGAACAGCACTCCTCCGTTTGCAAATAGCTGCACTGTAGAGTGACAGATCATTTGAGTAGTATTTGTGAAGGGTTAGAGAGCACATTTTCACTTGGGATTAAAAGTGTTTGTGTATGAAGAGGATTTTCACAGTGCGCCAGGGCAGGTGGGCAGAGAGCACAGAGGCCACAGCAGAGGGAACTGGATTTGCGAGCATCTCTTTAAGAGTGACCCCACAGTAAAGCCGTGCACCCTACTGCTGTCCTCATGAGCTCCTGCGTGCGCTGGGCCCCGAGCAGGACGTGTCTGAAGTCTAACAGTTCTGTAGTTATGGCTGCAACAGTCCGTCTGCTTTGCAGAAATCGTGAGCCCTGGTTCCAAAGCCGCCCGGCGATGGGGAGCAGCAGACCAGCGTGCTCTGCAGCCGAGTGCTAAATCATGTGCTTCTACAAACCTAGGCCATTTTATCTGTGACCAGTCAAACAGGTGACTTGTTAAATTAAGTAATTGGCAGGTCATCTAGGACAAAGCTCTGAGCATCCTTGAGCTCTCAAGACCTTAATGACTTATGTTAAGGACTGAGTGCAGACTGTGACAGACTGGCGCGTCAGGGGCGGTCAGTGGTGGCTGTCCAGTGTGATCCTCCGCACGCCAGCCTGTGCCACTGGGGGGGCAGCAGGGTCTGGCTCAGAGCAGCCCTGGGGATGGAGGAGGTCTCTGGGCTCCTTGACACCAGGACTGATGACCGCCCACTCTCTTTCGCACTCCAAGCCCCGCCATTGTAAAACGAGCCCCCCACCCCAGGGCTGTCGTGTCTGTACTGCTCCCTCCCTGGGGAGAGAGGGCTGCTATCCTTAAAAACCTACATGTCCAAACAGGGCGGGGCTACAGGACACTGGCAGGGCACGAGGGAGGGGAAGGACTGTTTGGACAGTGACAGCGCTGATACAAGCCCAGCACCCCCACACTGGGGAGGGGCACATAGCCCAGGGTGGAGGGCAGACAGGACGACACACAGGGGTCCGCTGCCCAGAGCTGTCCGCCGGCTCACAGCGCACCCGCAGAGGAGGCGGCCAGACGCTTGCCAATGTAGATCCTAGGGGAGAGAGATGGCTCCATCAGGGACACCGACATCCAACTACAGCTCATGTATCACACACTAGGAGCAGGTAAACAGTGAGACCCAAGCTGGAGAGTAGAAAGAAAGACATTTTGGCAGCTGAACCATCTTCAGGGGTGTGAGAAAGGCTCAAGAGCCAAAAGGCGTTTCTTCTCTCTGGTTCGCAGTACAGAAGCTCTAGTACTGCATGCCTACTGATTTCATGGCTTGATTTCAGTGCAGCTTAAAGACTTTCTTGAAGCTGCAGTTCACGTAAGGATCACTTTCCCTGCGTGTTTTTAGTGCAGTCTTGTTCCTCAGAGTATTCGGAAGTGGTTCAGTTCAGGACAGCAGGCCCGTGACACCATACTGCACGTTGAGGGCGGAGGGATGTACAGTGATTCATTTGAGAACTGTCGAGTGAGGCGAGGTGTGAACAGCGCCCCCTGCGGGGACATGGTGTCAGAGCGCTCTTACCCCAGGCCCAGTGTCAGCAGATGTGAGGCCAGTATGGAGGGGATGAAGAGGAAGAGAAGGTCAGAGGAGAAGAAACTCCTCTTCCTCTCACTCAGAGATCCCGTCTGCTTGGGGTGCTGGAACAGGAACTCCCTGACAGAGAGACCAGAGAGGGACAGGCTGGTGAGATCCCAGGGGTGTCTTCTACTCGCTCCAAGTGGCTATACAGTATTAACATTCACACATGTAATGTTCTGTTAACTGTCTGCCAATGCAGCTCCAGGAGAGGTGAGGACAGGATTCGGAGTCAGGCCTGAAGCGTGGGTGTTGAGGGGTACAGTGGGGTGCCACGGTGACAAACAGGGGATGGTGTGGCGTTCTTACTTTGGTGGAAGATTCTCGGGTCGACTGGCCCAGTCCCACACCCACTGTGAACTTCCGGATCTGTCAACATCAGTATTCGGACACTGCCACTCCTCCGACTGACACACAGGGAGAGAGCACTGTTACTGCCACTCCTCCGACTGACACACAGGGAGAGAG